TACATTTAAATCAATATGAAGTACCTAGTATATGTTATATGTTAGTATGCCTAATTTTCTTATAGCAGGGAAAAATTGGAAAGTATTCTCAAACACTTGAAATTTGAGGGGAAAAATCTTAAGGTTTCCTAATAATTAACATGCACCTTAAAAATCTAAACAAGTGTTATAAATCAATGAAAACTGATACATTTTAAAGTATAAGTGTTATCACTTCTAGGTGGAGACCTTTTATAGCTAACATTTATTGACCACATGTTGGCTACATTGGGTAAGGCTCCCACCCTCATTTCATTGATTCCCTGTGACCTGTGAGTTTTCTCTCTGCTTAAAAAGGAAAGAAAATAAGAAAAATATTAAGTGACTTGTTCAGAGTCACATATAGCATGTAACAGAATTAGGATTTAAACTTAGACTTATTCAGCATTTATTATTTTAGTTTTAAGAGTAACAGTCCTAAGTATAAGACTTAAAAAATGACTTTTAATTTGGGATTTAGTTAAGTATAACTTAAATTATTGATTTTACCTCTATTATTTATTGATCTTGGGTAATTTATTTTTCCGTGACTCTGTTTTGCTTTATAAGAAAGGGGATTTTTAACATTAATGTAGAGATCAAATCTAATAATATTTATAACAATTCACTATATCTGTACAAAATACTTGTTCCTATATTAACTTCATTTTATGTTGTTGGTTACGAAAAACTTGACCTAGTTTTTAAATATCTATAAATTCTCAGTAAAATATTAAGAAAGAGTACTGTAGTCGGAAAGGGCACAGGCATGATGAGCTTGCTGTATCCTCAGGCATTTTCTTCTTTGAGCCACAGTGATTTCAAAGTGGAATGTGCATTCCTCTATCTGCAGCTATAGGGCTGACCTTGAGGGAAGTCAAGATATTTAGTTAAAGTAATATGATGCTATAATCCTGTTTCCATTGAAATTTTACCAAATGGAACATTTGAACATACCTTATGAAACTTCTTAAGAATGATTAGTTTTTAAACTTAAATCTAAAACTGTTTTTTTAAAGTATTGTAACCACCTAGTGTATGCTTTTTAAAGAAATCAGTAAATTTCTTTGTATTGCTATATATGTGTGTGTGTATTTTTTGCCCTAAGCCCATATATTTTTGTTGATTATATCACATCATTTGATTATCTTACTGCTTATTATTATTTATGCCATTTAATATAGTTTAGAGTTACCATATACAGAAAAGTATAGCTGACTGATACATGAAACAGATTAAGAGAAATATTTCTCATAGGATTTAAAGTGTTTGCATTGGTGTTCCACCCCATCCATAGATTTAATTTGTCCAGGTCAGTATTTTAGTATTTTGAAACAGTTGCCAGTATTTCAATTAAGAAGAGTTTGTAGATAGTCTGGAGGTTTTTTTTTTTTTTCTTCCTCTCCCTGTTCTGGAATTAATACCAGACTGGTAATAATGGGCTGTAGCTATGAAATAGAGGGTATAACTTTTGAACTCTCCATCTTAACATCTCCTTATTTTCTGTTGTTTTCCATACTTAAAGGCCAACCTCAGTAGTTTTTTTTTTTTTGTCCTTTGGTTAGCACTTTTGTGTTTCTTTTGGGGGATCAGTACCTTATATTTGTGGTAACTGCCCAGCTCTTCTGATTTTGTATACCCTTGGAATAGGGACTATCCATGAGACTGGGATTATTTTGTGCATGATTTCATATGAACACATTTTATTCTACCTGATTTTTCTTAATTGCTCTTGTGGACTTTGTTGTTTGAATATTTCACAGGTTTATTCAGACAGTTTTCCATTGTAAATAGGAGGATTGTTTTCCCTACTTTGCTATTACAAATAGTGCTATAATGAATGTCAGTGTACATGTAAGTGTCTTTGCTATCTATGTGATGTATCCAAAGGGTAAATTTCTGAAAAAGGAATTCCTTACTTGAAGAGTGTGTGATTTTGAAATCTTTATAGCTGATGCCAAATTGTTCTTTGACTTGTATTTCAACAAAACATTTGAGAATGTCTTTTTGGCCAGACAGCACCCTGTCTGTGCAGACTGGCCTTTTAGTGAAAAATGGAATTTTAGTTATATGAGACTTTGAAAATCTTTTTTTTTTTTTTTTAAGATTCTTTTCTGTGAATGTTTTTTATTTTTTATTTTTAAAAATTAGTATTTATAATTTTGATGCTTGGAAATTATTTAAAGATTCACTTTTCAGTGACAAACTTGTAAATTCCAGTGTTGTATTGGTTAAACCATTCTTTCCATACTGACTTTAATTGCCCTTTTATTGTGTGCTTAATTTTGGTGTCGTCTCAATATTATTTCAGAAACTCATTTTTGTTCCATAGATCTATTTTAAATGATCTAAGTTTCCCAAATTTTATGAACATAGTTCTTATGTACTAAGTAAAATTCTTATGAATATTCTATAGGATTATATAGGACTATATAATGGAAAAGTAATGTAGTTTTAGGAACCCTGTGATTTAATTTTCTTAAGATGATACTTATTTGTTATACATGATTACAACAATGTAATGGAGAAAGTATAAAGTAACCTCATCAGAAATAAAGTAAAATTGTCACTGATATTAAGGGAATATAACTTGTGTTATTTTTTGTGTGCTTATCTACAGGTAGATGAATGGAGAAAAAATTTGATAGTAAATGATATAGTAAAACATGAGTGAAATAAATGTGTGTTAAATTTAATTTTAAACAATGAAGCTAAATGAAATAAAAAATAGTTGAAATTCTTCTATAACTTTCTTTACCTTAATATTTATTATTTTCCAAATGCCCATCTAAGATTAATGAGATTAAAAGGTATGACAGACTTAAATTTTAGTCAGTGTTAAGTGACTACTTTATAATTCTATCTCCCTTTCACTGCTGTTTTTTAAAATTTTTTTTTTTCTAAATTGTTTTATAAGACAGCAGAATGCATTCCAGATTATATTACACATATAGAGCACATTTTTTTCTACTTTTTTAAATAATGTTTTTGCTTTGTTAATTTGGTCCAGATATGGTGATCACATTCACTTAGTTCTACAATTGGTTAGCCATAGTTCTATATTCAGAGAGTTAGTACTCAGCCATATTCCTATAATGTTTATTCCTATATGTTTTCTTTTTAACCCTTTGATTGTCAAATTTTCCATGAAACAAGTTTATTTTTCTTAAATAATGATTCATTAGTCTTCTTGCCTTAAAACCATTCTTTAAATTTGACTGTTTTAAAAATATCTTACATTTAAATTAGAATTTGTCTTTTATAACATTTTTATATTACAACTTTTCTTTTTTAGAATTATATGACCTTGGCTTTATCTTTTTGCTTTTAATGTGCTGTTTCCTTTTTCTACCTACTGTCTATGAAGATATTTCTTTAGGTGTTAAATTTTTTTTAATATTTATTTTTTAGATACAATATTTTTATTTTACATTTATGTAGTGCTGAGGATCGAACCCAGTGCCTCATGCATACTAGGTGAGCGCTCTACCACTGAGCCACAACCCCAGCCCATAGGCGTTAAATTTTAATAGCTTAAATTGTGATATGTTTGTGTGTTTGCTTCCCAAACTTTTCTTGAAACATGGCATGCTTTTTTTAATATGAAGATTTAACTCTTAAAGAAAAATCTTCAGTTTTGTATCTTCTATGTCCATTTATTTTCAGTTACCAGCTATCTCTATTTTAATTAATTCTGTCTTTTTGTCCTCTATTTACTTATTTTAATTTGCAATATTTGTTCATTTTACATTTATTATTATTGTTAATTCTAATTTATTTATTATTTTCTAGTGACATATTTTGTTCTTGCACTCGTTTTCTTAGGTCTGTAGTGTCATTGAGCTTCTCATTCTGTTGTTTGGTAATATAATCTCTTACCCGTGACTTTATTGAATTCATTTTTAATTGAAATATCTGTAGAAAGACTCTGTTCAGCTAAATTGGTGTGTGTGTTTTTTTTATTAGTCAACTTCTCATATTTTGTGTGTTCCATCTATATCTCCATCTGGATTCATAGCATTTTTCATGGAGTCCATAGGTGGAGAAGGAGCTGCCCAGAAGCTTATTGGCATTGCCAAATTCATTCTGTGGTTTTGTTACCTTAATTTTTGACAGAGAGCACCTGCCACATGGTTTACTTCTACAGTTTCTTCCTAGTTTGCTTTTTGCTATATATAGGGAAAATTAATGAAAATGGGCATTTTTTGATGTATCAATATTGAATATAGGAGGAAATGGGAGAAGGTGTAGAGAACCATATTCTTGGTCTTGTTTGGGAATCTTCAATTTCTTCTCATGGTTATTGTTTTTTTGTAGTTTGATATGATATATGTTCTTTCTGTGCTTAGGTGCTTTAGGGCAAGGTAAGGCAAACTACAGTCTGCAGGTCAAAAATGACTCACCTATTTTTGTAAATAAAGTGTTACTGGAACACAACCATGCCTGCTCATTAGTGAATTATCTGTGGCCTTCTTCATGTTTCAGAGATACGGTTGAGTAGCTGTGACAGAGACCATATGGCTGGCAAAGCTGAAAATATTCACCCTCTGCCCTTTACAGGAAAGTTTATAAAACTCTGACATAGGGTAATTTTATTTTTCTTGCAGGATTTTGTTTAATTTACTTTCATTTTCTTAGAAGTTATGGGGGAGAGAGTAGGAATTCTCTTTGTTAGAATATCTTGTCATAGAAATTGCTATTATGATGGTTTTTGAAAGATTCATATAATAATACAACCATTATATTTCTTATACCAAAATGCTTAAAATTCCAAAAAAAAATTAGTCGAATTTGTTTGGTTTATTTTGACACAACAGTTGTGATATCCTACCAGGCCATCATCTACCAATAAATTATTTATATTATTCCTTTTTAATCTTGTCTTTTGTTTCTGATATGATTAATGCAGTTACTTAATTATGGTTCATCTTTTTGGAAGACTATTCAATTTTTAACTTATTTTCTTTTGCACTTTTTCAAAGGTATAAGAAGTTTAGCAAGATATTGAGTGACATTGGAGAGAATGAAGGTGGAATTGATAAGTTTTCCAGAGGCTATGAATCATTTGGCATCCACAGATGTGCTGATGGTGGCTTATACTGCAAAGAATGGGCCCCAGGAGCAGAAGGAGTTTTTCTTACAGGAGACTTTAGTAAGTATTTTGAAATCATTGAAGTCAGTAGAATTTTATTTCTCTATTTAAAACTTAGATATATATTTTATGTATAGAATATATGAAGATTCATAACTGCACTATTAGATAGTTATTTGTAATTATCAAATATTTACCTTTGTGTAGTAGAACTGCTTCTGCTATAATATGATATGTATATCCTGAAAAACTTTATGTGCTGTAATAACATGTACCAGAAATAAAGATTTATAAGAAAAATTATATTAGGGTTTTTGCTCCAAATTTACTCAAGTAAATTGACAAGTTTGACAAAACCAATAGCAAGTGGGTGAAAATACTGGCATAAAGCCCCTCTAGCATTTGCACCTGAATTGTTGGCATCAGAGTTCTTGGATGGATACTCCTTAGCTTTATACCTTTTTTTTTTTTTTTTTATTTTTCAGTAAAAGTAAACATTTAGTCTAGAGGGTAACCTTTATCACTCAAATATTTATAGTTTTCCTGTTTCCATAACACTATGGGAAATTTCTTTTTAGCATTGTCATCTGCACTGTAAATCTGACAAACTTAATGCTCTAGAAAGCACAACAATTCGGGAAGCCAGACTTCCTGGGCTTAAAGCCTAGTGGAAGCTTAACTAACCATTCCTTTTATTAAAAAAACTAAAGCATTGTGTATCTTATTGCCTTATCTACATTAACTTTTTTTTTTTTTTTTCTTACAATAATTGAACAAGAAGAAAGGTATTTTTTGGTTGTACTTTTTTTTTTTCAAGAATTACCTGGATTAGAAAATCTGTAAGACTTATAATGTTTGAATTTGTCCCAAACTTAAAGGGAAAGAAAATGAATGTTAATTAGCTCACAAATTACAATAGATTTTTTTAATTTGAAAATTTATATGAAGACTAATTAAAACGTATTAGGTGGTTTTTCTAATGATATTAATCTGTTTTAAAAGTATTTAACTGTATTTATGTGACCTTGTACATTTCAGTTGATGAGTTGAAACAGATAATTCTATAGAATTATCTCTAACTGTAACACTCATCATCTTTAAGAATTCTGTTTCTCACCTTGTTACCCAATATAAGGGAAGCTTAACTTTCAAATATGTATTTAAATATGACTTATGGAACTGTTGCTTTTTTACCTTTTGGTAGGGATTTAAAAAGAAGCATAACTTTACTTGTGTTTTGGTATGGAAATTAAAAATATTGCCTTTTTACTGACCTCCTTCCCCAATATCCAAATAATCATATAAAACATACTTTCAGAAACTAGTAGCAAAAAATTATCTAATTTCTGCTAATACGACTTATGTTTACCTTAGAAAGGAAATTTACCTAATTCATTTTTTAAGTCTAAGAGATAAACATTTTTAGAGATAGTTTTCAGTGGGAAGTAAAGAATTTCTAGGCTTTAATTCTGAATTTTGGGAAATTTTACATAGTCAAAATATTGTTAGGATGTCTTTCTTATTTTTAATCAGATTAGAAATTGATTTCCTATAGATGTATTTTTCTCAGGGCTTACTCATATTATTGCTGATTAAAATTTTATTGTTTTAGTATATACTTTCCTTTTTGTCTACTGACCTGAGAACATTTTAGGCATAAGTGCTTAGAGTAGTCAAATATAAAGGATATTTAAGAAAAAATCTTTAAGAAAGAAACTGATATGGATTGGTGTTTAAAATAATTAAAAAAACAGATTTAGAGTTTGAAAACACAGTTGAGCTCTCTAAATACTTTTCTTCAAGTGTCTCAGTGGGGATAAAGGTGACCATATTTGTCTTAACTGCCTAACTTTGTTGCTCTGGGTAACAGCTAGCTTGTGAATGTGAAATATAATGTTTACTGAAAAAATTGAAAAAAATACTTTCGTTTACAAAGTTATTTTTTATATTAAGAATCACTATTTATTTCAAAAGCCTTGCAAAAATATTATAGTTTAGTCTGTTTTACCCAAACCAATCTGACTTTGCCATACACATTTTAAAAATTACTTGGAAAACACCTTCACATTAAATACAATATTTTATTTGACAGCTTATGAAACAATCATTTCTTTCTTTTTCATTCATTTTTAAAGAGCCAGCCTTTTAAATGGCTAGCAGCTACTTCAGCAAACCAAAAGAATAATAATGTGCATATAATAACATGCATCAGAATCGGAATCTTACTACCCAAAAAAAGTATTTCTGGGTGAACTACTTTTAAGGTTTGAGATGAATTTCTAAAACTTTGAATCATTTGCAATATAAGAAAGACTCATTCTTTAGAAAATTAAGTGTGATTTGAAATGTACTTGGACTTTTGGTACTAAACCGTGTTTATTGCAGGTTGTTAAATAAATGAAGAGAAGTAGCTGTTTTCCAGTATCTAGATGATAATAAGAGAGAATGGTGGTAAACTACATATGTCAATATAAAATAATTGGGTTCCTGTTTGTTATAAATGAAACAGTTTCATTTAAAATTACTAAGTCTAGGAGCTAGGTACTTTTCACAGAACTTAAATGTCTATCATCAATAAATAGAACACACACACACACACACACACACACACACCATGATTTTTAAGCTTGCAGAGAAAAGAAACCATGTTTATTTTTGCAGAGTGGAAAAGATACCAAAAGGAATTTTTTACTTTTGGTTTTCTGGACCAAATTTGTGTGTAACTTTTTTTCCAGTTATATCATGGCCAAGAAGTTTACAGGGTCATAAAAGGCTTTATGTTTCTTAACTCCACATGTTCTGAAACAGTTTTACTTAAAGTGTGTTCTGTGGCTCAGTGTAGTTTCATGAACTGGAATTTGTTTACAATTATGTCAGAAATTGGGAGTAAGCATTTGGAGAATTTCATAGTGATTTGGCAGTTTTTTATTTCTTTTGAACTAATAATGATACTAAATTTGGGTTTTGATTTTTGAGTAATTTTTTTCCTTTGGATTTTTGAAAAATTTTACCAATTTATAAGCATTGGTCTTGAACAGAGTTGAGTATAAAAAGGTAATTGGTTCATCATAATAGATAGTTTGAAAAGTGCTGATTTACAAATTTGTGAAAATCAGTGATCATTTTTTTTGGGGGGAGTGGGTACCGGGGATTGAACTCAGGTACCCTCAACCAAAAGCCTCATCCCAGCTCTATTTTGTATTTTATTTAGGGTCTCACTGAGTTTCTTAGCACGTCGATTTTGCTGAGGCTGGCTTTGAACTTGTGATCCTCCTGCCTCAGCCTCCTGAGCTGCTGAGATTACAGGTGTGCGCCAGTGCACCTGGTTCAGTGATCATTTTTATTGGTTTAGAAGTTCTTTATGATTATAAGGTGTAGTTCTGATATCAACTGCTTTTTCATTCTCTTCCTTCACCTTATCTATGATGGCTGTGTTAATCAGTTTTCACTGTGGTGTGGCAAGTTACTAAAAGCTCCAACATTTTAAAGACTTGAAACAACAAATGCTTCTTTCTTGTTAATGTTAACTGCTATTGTCAGCTGTGGCTTTTTTCCATGTGTCAAATTCTTTGCAGAATTCAGGGTAATGGAGAAGCCCCATGATGTCATGAGAGAGGGAGAGAGGGAGGGAGAGAATGAAGGAGGAATCCTGTGATGGCTCTACAGACTTTAGCTTAGAAGTAGCAGATGTGATTTGCATTGTTTTACAGAGGATGCTGAAAAATTAGAGTCATATGTCTGTTGATGATGTGAATATGTTTCTGAGAGATGTGTCATTAGATGATCCCTTTGTTATGGCAAAATTATAGAATGTACTTATACAAATGGAGATGACTATAAAGTCACTAGGCTATATAATGTTAGGAGAACACTATTGTGTATGTGGCTTGTTACTGACTGAAATGTCACTATGCATCACATGACAGTATACAGTACATGCAGTGCATGACAGTATATGTCCTTAAAGGCAAATAATACATTTTTATAAACTTTCCAGATTTTTTAAAATATTCTAGATGCTTAGTTCCCACCTCCCCCCAAATGGCAAGGGAGTTTGTTTAGGTAGGATAGCTCTCCATATTTAGATTGATGAAGTTTCTTGGAATTTCTATTAAGTTGTGGTTTCAAAGGAAACTGGAAAAGAATCTTTTACCAGGTAGTCTTTTTCAACTCCCTGTGGGGATGTCTGAATGCATTTTGTCACATGCTTACCCTTCAGTTTGCTTATTTGGAGATTGTGCTGTTTCTTGAGAGCAACTTTCTAGGGGTGGTCTCAGGACTCTGTTTTATTATTATTGATTTATTTTAATGTTTTTGTTATGCATTATAGTTATACAAAATTGTAAGTTTTATTTTGACTTATTCATAAATGCAGATAATATAATTTACTCTGTTTCTATCCCTACTAATTTCTCTCTCCTTTCCTTTCCTGATACTTTTCCTTACTCTTGATGTTATTTATTTTGGCAAAGGGGTGCAGAGGTAGAAAGTCTTAGGGTTATTTACTAAACCAGTGCTGAGGCTGAGAAAAACTGTGATATATTTTTAATACTTTCTCTGGCTTTCTAATCTGATGTTCATTCTTTCACCAATTTTATTTGTTAACTAGACTGAATGAATTAATTTCTGCTTGACAGGCTCAAACATTAACAACGCAAAATGATTCCCATAGGTTTCTAAGCACCAAGAGTAGTCTGTTGTCTAGTATATGAATACAGTTCTTCTACTAGTTGCATCATGTGCTTATACTGAGCCTGTACCCCCATCCAATGAAAGCTGATTCTTTTCATTATAATTTTGCAACAATTGATAATGAATTATGAGTGTGACAACAAAGTTACTGAGTATTAGACAAATGTTAGTAAGGACAACCTGGAACATTTTTTTTTTCTTCCAACAGACTCTATTGCTCTTTGGGGCATGGGGCTCAGGAGCTCTTAAGAGTAATGGGTCCATTTCCTCTTCCCCATCATAGGCTTCTGTCTGTGCAGAATGGCACTGGCTCTTTGGATGGCCACCATGCTCAGGTCTGGGAGCTACTTGTTCTCATGGATCTTATG